TTTGTATTATTATCACTGGAGGAGCCTACAGCCAGTATAATCGACATGTTTTAAGTGAGTATGAGTATATCAACACAATGAAAGAGGCATCCAAAGCAGGTTGTTGTATATTGAAGGTATATGTATGAAATATAGTGTGAAGGATCAAAACAAACTCTTTCAACTCTTCTCTCCGTTCATAACAGCAATAAATTTTATTGATTTACTGTTGAAGCTGTTGAAAAGTCAGTTAGTGTTTTGGAAGGTTGTGAGTTATTCGTGAATGATCGTGGATCCCATGTGAATGCCAGCAAGGAAGTAGAATGTGATGCGATGATTATGGATGGACACACCTTAAATACAGGTTACAATTTTTGATACTTTAATAAAAAATTTGTTACAAGACAATGTATTAGAGACAAACAAAACCTTTAGTATCATTCTAGAATAACCACAATAAAGCTTGATACTCGATTTAAGACGAGTCATGAAATGAGAAAATCAATTCACATTTTTTCTATGTGTTGTAGGTGCAGTAATCTCGTATCGACATTTCAAAAACCCAGTTGGTCTTTCATGAAAGGTTATGAAAGATACATAACACTGTGCTATAGTGGTGATGGTGCTTCGGATTTTGCAATAAGCACTGATTTACCTTGTTGTGAACCGAATCAATTAATAACAGCAGGAAAAATGAAAAATTACATCCTTAATGAGCGCTTTAACGACCGTGTAGAATATTTCTATGAGATAGAACCTATCCCAGATTGGCTCCCTAAAAATGTCCATACTTCATGTGATGTTGCAATTGATAAAAAAGTCAACTTGGCATGTGCCACATCAACAGGTAATGAAAAACAAAGACATGTCGCATGTTTACATATGTTCATGGGAGTAGGAAGATCAATATTTTCATAATTAGATATGCAGCGTTGGGTACCTTAGAAATCCATTATTTTCTACTGATTATAACATGAATTGATGAATATGAAACATTGAACTAAAATACATGGAACGCTATCTGAAGCAAGTTATTGAAGCCAAATCTTACACCCGGACACGCGACACTATGCCCAGACACGCGACACTACACCCAGACTCGTGTTTAGTGTTTCGAGATTCTCTCACGAAGTGAAAATTGATTGAACTACGTACTCGTATCTCGGTGTAATGTCACGTGTCTGGGTGTAGGATTTGGCTTCAAAAAATTGCTATGCTTTTCTGTTACAGGTAGCGGTCAATGTATTTTATGGTTCCATGATATGAACGCCCCTTCCTCGCTCAATTATCCATCTTTAATCATCCAACCCCCATGCATATGTTCAGTGATTAATTAACAAGAAATCAAACACAAATTCTACATCAACACAGTTATCACATACATCATCATAGGAGGTATTGCTGGGGAACGTAAAGGTCGTGTTAGTGATGCTGCATTAGTTGGTTGTGGTGGATATGAAAATGATAAAGGAGCAGCTGAAACAACTGGTCATGGAGAGAAGTTGATATAATTAACCTTGGTACGTCAAGTTGTCACTGAAATGGAAAATGACACAGTTAGTGTAAAAAATAGATAATTTATTTATTCGCTCGTAAATTATTGTTTGAATTGATGAATCGCTTTGATGCATTGCACAGTAAATTCCATAAAACCAAATGTGATTTATATTTGGAACTGTGCAAACTATTTCAAAAGAAAATCATTATAAAAGAAGTGGAAAGTTTTGGTTTTCTATAGTTGCACTGATTACCAACTAAATCAAATCACAAAAAAATGTAGTTCTATATGCAGAACTGTATGGCACAATCGAGAATCGGGGAGTCCTATTCATATATGCAAGTTCTAATTTTTAGAGAGACAGATTTTCTGAGGGGCTACAGGGGGGTGCTCTACTAAAAACATTTAAGCTTCCTCAATTTTTAGAAAAAAAAGAAATCAATAGTACAGTTGAGCTGAGTTTTTCTATAGGCAATGTTTCAACTTTGTACACAACCTTCGATGGCTGCATCACCAGACAGCCATAAAATCCAGACCCTCACTTTGTCTTACGTCACTTCCTTACCAGCGCAACCCTCTAAATGTTTTTAAAGAATGAGTATCAGGGTCATGCTTTGCACGCTTTGTTGACCATTTTAAGGCAACCTGAAAATGGAGGCTGTAATGGAGGATGTTTGATTTGAGTACATAAGTACAGCATATAAATACGGCATGAATATCGTAGCAGCAGTTAAATTATCAACCATAAATACTTCCTATAAATAAATATGATCATATAAGTCGATGAACGAAACAAAACCTGTACTGAATATGCATTTGATTGCTTAAGTGCACGAAAGTTCCCGTATGAAAACATAAACATTATTAAGCCCGCAAAGCATGATCCCGATAGTCATTCTTTAAACGACCTTAGTAAAAAAATATAGAAATCTATTCATGGTTGTATTGCGCGAATAGACTTTTGAGGTAGGTTTTTGTAAATCGTTACTTGAAAATTTATTATGAATTAGAAAGTTTAAGTGTTCTAGGTCGTTATAGTAAAAAATACACTTCTATGTTTACTAAAATTAGAATTTACCGATTTCCTAATCAAGTTTCTTCGTAAAGTTTGAATTTCCCTTTTTTTTTAAGAAAGCGACGGAATTAGCGGTAAATTTAATGAGAGAAAAACTGTACGGTTCAGGAGGAGCTATTGCGATTCACAAAAACGGAAATTTTGGTAAAACATTTTCTACTCATCTAATGTCTTAGGCTAGCATCAAAGATGATGTTTTGAAGGGTGGATTTGAGAAAAATGAAACAGGAAAAGCAAAATTGTTGCACAACGAAAGAATTAACTATAAAATTACCATTACTATATGATTTAGGGTCATATTTCCTTAATGTATATATATACTTATCTTCACAATTATGTACACGTTAACTCTACTACAAGTAGGAAACATCATACTTTCCTTCATTGTTTTAAAATTTTTAACTTTTTTACTGAAAAATATAATGTCACCTTTCTTTCAAAATTTCATTATTTTTTAATGCAAGAAAATTGACAAGATTCTACGTTTAGACGGTGTAGTTGTAGCTGATATCATGATGTTAGTTATTTTTCAGATTTTAATATACATTATTTGTTGTGTTCATGGAAAAGTGACTCCAAAGTGACAAATTAACCTATTGTGATAATTTCGATCAATATGTTAATCTTACTGATGCATTCTTGTGCATGTTTTAATGTTGTCTTAAATTCCTTGGAGGAAAAAACAACTTTTGTGTTTGCAACGAAGATATGTACTATAGCGAAGCAAATAGCTTGCAAGAATTTATGCAAATTATCAAAATACGTAAGAAGATCTACTTTATGACGATCTTCTTTTTCATTCGCCCTTGTTTTTAAAAATATCGTTTTTTCCTGAAGCCCAGTTATTATTGGACAAGAGGGAAGTTATCGCAACGAGGTACATGTACTTTGTAGAGTAAAAAAAAGAAAAGCGTTTATTGAAAAAGTACGCGAAACACGAGTACGTAATAGATATACCACCCTGGGCGCTTCACGCTGTATAACAGACTTGGTTACTTACTAACGTCCAGTAGCATACACGCCCATGACACGAGAAAAAATAACTGAGCTTTAAACATACGGGGGAATTGGGAAAGAGGTTGTCGATATTTGGCAAAACTCACATGGCAAACTTAAGAAACATCAAATTTGTTACATTTCATATAAACTCAATCTTATGTCTGTATATCAAATGCTAACTGCTAACCCATAATGAAATGAAGCAAAATTTGAAAGGAAGACGCATCTCCTTGACACCCAAACATTCCACGATAAGAAAATCAGATTGAAACTAGTGTATGGTCACAGAATAATGATTATACAGAATGGTCACTCAGGTGTACAACGCGTCCTCATGTCGGCCATTATTCCAGCCAGATGATTAGGATTTCTCACTTGTTTAAAACCATTAAAATTACATGACGTCATACTTAATAATGAATTCAAGTATATTGTTACTTAAAAAATGACTTCGGATCATTTTAAAGGTTTGGAAAAAGTCAAAAACCCTATCATCTGGCTGGAATAATGGCGGCCACCATGCGCGGCCCGACATGCGCGAGAACAAAAACGTCAAAGGTTTCGACACGAGTGACTCTTCTGTGTATTCTTATTCTGTGGCATGGTGCTATAGTCGAAAACCCGTTATAAGAGTTTGTATTCATTTCATTTACCGGAAGTAATCTCAACTGTTTTCGGGTAAAATGACCATGACTAACAACATGGCATAGCTAATGATCTCACCTTGTGAACCATTCTTTACGTAGATATACACATTATACGGGGTGTTCCCAAAAAGAACAAATACACGATGTATCAAAAAACAGTATTATAAAATTCAACTTATTCTGAAAATTTAATTCCTGCTCACCATATGCCACTGATGCCTTTTTCTGAACTAAATTCTAGGAGACTAATGATATGCATGAAAGTCGTTTGATTTAGATTTAGAATCCTGCAAACCATTCAAATCGACAAATCAACTTTCGAATTATGTCTATTTAAACAATTAGTTGCATTTTATATAGGTGCTGTGTATAGTAATTGCGATTGGTTCATTAGTAGTCACATGACTTGAAATAAATGCACGCTTTCCTTCCAGGAAAACAAGTGAAAAGGTGTTGCCCACTCATTTTAATATTATAACGAATAAAACAGCCACCAAGCCGAAAACTGAAAACTTTTCTCGAGCTTATTAAGCGACGAAAATCAACTATTAATAAAAAAGAAGAAAATAATCGGAAGTCAACCTAAAATGCTGTGGTCAATCATAGCATTTTGCAACGAAATTTTGTCGGCCAATTCCGAGACATTGATTTTATTGAAGAGTTGTTGAAATTTATGATTTTTTCCCTATACGACAAAACACTTAATGTACTCACCCCCGGGAAATAGTGAGCCTAATTTCCCGAGAGTCTCAATATAGGTTTGGTGTAGTGGACAAATGTGAAAATTATTTAAGACACTATATATAGATCAACACACATATATTGTAACAATTTTGTAGAAAACATATTTATACGATTATTTCCTACATTAACATACTAATATAATAAAACTACGTTAATATGTGTTAAAAAACAAAGTTCAACAAAACACTGCGCAAAAAGAAAGTTTCTCTCCAAATAATTTTTTATAAGTGCTAAATGAATGAATCCCAACCAGTCTTTAAAATGACAATTGCAATTGTTCAGTTTCGATAAAATGTGGGTATTTTTCAAATTCCTTTACAAGATGACAGTTACCAACAAATAACGTTGCTGAATGTGAGTGCAAGTTATTATACAACTATTGAATGCTAATTTTAAAAATTAGTATTTTTGAATTCAGGATAAGACACGTCCTTTTCTAAAGCACCAGTAATCTTCACATACCAGTTGGAAAATTACTATTAATCTAAAAAATGGAGTTGAATTATGTGGGATTCATTTATTTAGCATTTAAAATTTAAAAAGCAAAAGAAAAATTTAGAAACGCAAAGAAAAAGTGCAGTAATGCAAAGTCTGCAAGCTACTCGTAAACGGACATCCTTGAGACCACGACCTAATGTCTGCTTACGGTAGATGTCCGTTTATGGGATGTTATTGACTATACGTAGATATGTATACACAAGAAAATGAAATACTTACGGTACATGTCCGTTTATGAGTTGTAATGAAAGATATCTATTCACTATACGTAGATATGTACACAACAATATGTAATAAATTTAATGATCTAAAATTGTTCACTACACAAAAAATAAAACACAGTGGATATAGAAATATGACATCTTGAAAAAGAAAGACGTTGAAATTTTTCCATATTTTTCATTCTCATAACTTGATGTAAATCTTACATGTCGAAGTTAATTTTGTTGTGAATGATTTGTTGACCATTTATATGAACTAAACTGATCACTTTCATTCTACAACCATCCATAGTTGACGTTTGCTTTGAATTTTCATGACATTTTGCTGTTATGATCTTAATTCATATCACAAATGTTATAGTATCATTCAAGTACATATATATTTTAGAGCATGCGCAAAGGCAATCGAGTGTCATAATATTCACAATGATAGTGTGTTTGTATCAAGAAGCAGCTTCAATTATAGATGCAGCAAAAGTCCCTATAGCCATCTCCAATAGCCGCAATGTACTAAAATGAAATTCTTTTATTCACTCTCATGATTACTTATGCGTTATGTTCACATCAAAACGTCCACATGAGATAATTTTCACGCTTCAGTTTTATAAAAAGTGAACAAAATAAACAGCCAGCTTTACCATTTTAAAAATGTAAAAGTTCATATCTTCCAAATTTGACATTTCAATGAACACGTGACCTGGGTGACGTTACAAAGTACAATAAATCCACAGAGAAACATGGTACATAAATTTGTCATTTCTTTCATTACGTCACTTCCTGAAATGAAGCTTCTTCTTGTATTATTGTTTGGATTAAGAGTAGACGATGGAATTTTATAGACAAGCCATAAACATCAAACTTTGGCAAAGTAACTTGCAGTATGTCCACTGATGTTTGAGTTGCTGTTGTTAAAAAACAATTTCCATGAAGTATTTATTTTTAAAGTAGAACTGTTCAAACGTTAACAATCTCTGACATCGATTTTTCATTAAAAGTTAAAAACTTGTCATTAAACATCCTTCCATATGCAACATTGTCGTTTGCTTTCCGTCTCTCTATATTGCAAAACTTTCTTTGACTTTTGTTAACTTTTCCTGTTCATAAGGTTTGGAGTGTTCAGTCACAATGGTTAAATTGTTTATCACGATGATGAACGTCAATCATAGGTCATTTTCTTGTGGAGTTTACAATTTACTAATTAACAGTCAGTGAGAAAGACAGCCAAATTTTTAGTTTTTCTTGAAAAAATTAGCAAAGGTACCATTGTTTTATTATAAATTTCGTTTTTCAAATTGATAAATATGAAAATATTCATATAACTGAAGTAACAATTGGGCTGTCTTTGTGTCTCTTAACAACTTAACTCGTAGATATTTTGTATATCAAAATGCAATAATTAAAAAGTATTAAGAAATTATTTCAGTGCAAGATAGTATTGATTTAATTAGTAACAACTTGTTTTTGGCGTAAAAGAGTATCGAAAAACGTGCAATATTAAAACCATCCTACACTGAATACATTTGCATGAAAATTATATGTTTACATGGTGTGGATATAAACAAAATATTACCAATGGTACAATAACTAACAAAAGTTTGCATTTTATATGTTTGTGTGATAAAAGCCAATAAAATTGTTTTCTTGTGCAATGAAAATTATTATCTTAGACACGAAATCATTTGTGTTTATGTCTTTATTGTCATTGAATTTTCATCTTTAATTGATTAATTTCAGCTTTTATACATGATCTCTCTAAATGTTGACATTATCGTACACTCCGGTCTCTGTATAGAACAATCAAAATTAGACAAAGGTCGTTTCATGAAATCATACGCAAATCGACATTAATTGAAATGTCAACAATGATAAGGATCATGCATAAAAACTGCACAAGATTTTCTTAAAGATAAAATATAGTCATTATCCAAAAGGGAGACAAATTTTATCATCAAAGATCAAATTTATCCACGTGGCAAGATGATTTTTAAGCATTGTACTGGGATCTTTAAGGAAGAAAAAATTAAAGCAAGTTTGCGTTTACGATAGTAATAAAAAGTTCTTGGAAATATACTCACTAATGGGAGAAATCTACAATCTTAAACTAATTCAAATCAATCAAACATAACTCATCATTAATTATATACCTATCATCAACAAAGAAAAACTTTGACTTCACAAAATCCTCAGTAGAACTATAAATAATTTGTATGTTTTTAACGTCAAATACTTTCACATACTCACGCATGGCATCTATAACTAATTTATCTGCTGAAGGTGAAAATCTGCTCAATAAATACTGCCAGTAATATCATGTATATATTCAATGTCTTCATCTGCCATTAATTGGCAATTTCCTCCTGAATTATGTCATTCCATCCAATAACTTGTTTGTCTTCATTTGACAAGCAAATGATACATCACTCACCTCAAAAATTTTGTTTGTACCTTTTAATTCATCGAAACTATAACCAAGTTTTGTCAAATCATTATTCCAAAGCTCAGGAATATTTTTGCCGTAAGCAAAATAACTCCATTTTCTACAGCAACCATGTCACTAACAAAACATTCCTTGACAACAAAGTCAAATGAGTTGAGATTGTATAGCAATATCCTTGAATTTTCTTCATTGCTCCGATACAGAAATTTTCCATTTGAGCAAAATTTTTGGCTACTTAAACAGTAACTGTTAGTTAAACATGCACTCGGTATTAAATAAAGACGTAATTCAAGTTAGTAAGTAAAAAAAGAACATTGCCATTGTTCAAAACAATATAATACGTCTCTACTCTACTTTCCTGGAAGGAAAACCTTAATCTGGTATCCTCGAAAGGATCAAGAGGAAAAAACGAAGTTTGGAAATCAGGATCTAATTTAGGAAATTTCTCACCAGTGGGATTTAGAATGAAAGGTTCGCTCTGGAAGAAAGGAGGCCAACCACAACACCAAGAATGAAGACCAACAGTGAACAAAACACCAGACTTACATAAAATGATCAGACAGTAAATGATCGTAGTAAACGAATTTTTCATAATTATTCGCAACATCAAATATTTCAATAACTTTTCTTTCCTCCATAACACACAAATATCTTCCAGAATTAGAAAAACACAGTGAGGTCACATTATTTACAAAACCCGTGTCTCTGTGCTCTAACTAAGGTGAATCTTTGAAACGTGTTTGAAGCATTGTGGTGGCTTGAGACGACAGATCTTTGATCACAGAATAAACATCATTAAATAACAATCGAATATCATCAGAAATAAGAAAGTACACATCATGTGTGTTGAATAGTTTAAAATTTTCTAAAGTACGGCGAGAGTCAACCAAAATAGAAGCAAGTAAAACTTCCAAGTCAAAAGATATTTACCAACATTTCCAGCGATACATTCATTATCAGAAATATAGAGTAAATGAAACAACCAATACTTGACTGAATACTTCACTGACGCATGTTTGATGATGTCATAGTTTACACCTCCAGCTTTGAGGTTATCCAAAGATTTTAAACAAAATTCTAAAACAAGTCGATGACCACAAGAAGTTTTTACTGAGTAATCATGTTTTCGATCATCCAACAACCAATCATTTAAGGATTCGTGAAAAAACGAAACACATCCTTCTTCATTGCTAACAAACAGACAAGAGATAATTTTTCTAACCCCAAGTGACATGCGATTCGAATTCAAACAAAGAACGTCATCGATCATTTTCCAAGGAAGAGGTTCCTTAGCAACAGCCAGAGCATTTAAAATTGACTGAAACTTTTCGTTACTGATATGAAAAAAATCTAATTCCTTACTTAATCTTGTTAAGCAAATTTCGTAATATTCACTGACATCTTTTGGTATGGAACCATTCAACAAATCCTGATTTTTGACTTCACTGCTAAGAAGCGAAGCAAGCAACATAAGTCCGTCAGCTTTTTCTGCCAAAATATTTTTAACATCAGGAAGAATGTCAGTAGAGCCAATTCTTTCATCAATCAAAAATTTAATATCCTTTAAATTGCGATCATCGCTGCAGTTAATGAACAGTGGAATTAATTTTTCGAACATATTTAAAGCAACTTCGTTAGGTCTCGTGGTAATTACAAAGCGAAAACAAGGCGGAAGTTTGTGTAAGTGATTAGCAAGCAAATAAGCAAGGTCATCTCTTTCTGAATAACCACATTCATCAAGAGCATCCAGCACAACTAACATTCGCTTGGGAACTTCTGAGATATTACAAAACAACTCAGTAAAAAGAAGGGAAAATAATCCTTCAACATTCATGCGATTCAAAGGCTGAGAGAGTTTACCCGAAAGTTTTTCCACAAGTTGTTGTTTGTAAGGAGGAAACTTACGACTAATTTGCATCGCTAAAGATTGAAGAAGTACGTTGGCTTTATTGTAACGACTGTTGTTGTGTCGAAAGAAATGAACTGCAGTCAAATATTGTGGATAACGTTTACATAAAGTAGCTGCAATTACAGATTTACCCATACCAGCAACAGCAGAAATAATAAATGCACGATTTTTAGAAGTGTCGTCTTCAAACCAAGCTAAAAACTCATTAAAAACCCATTCCCGTGTTCCCTCTAAAAATTTTTCATAATGATGTTTAATTTCGCTTTCAAAGTTACAGCTAACAAGGTTTTTTGTCAAAAAATATTCTTCTGGACCTAAGTGAGGGTGATGTCGTATTTCATGTACTTCGTCTTTAATTACTGTGAAACTATCTTTTACCTGTTGTAAATCTTTCTCTATACCCTCCACTACATTCTTAATACCTCTCTGAACAGTTTTAATATCAGATAAATCGCTCTTTAATCTATCCCATTCTCTCAAAATTCTTTTATATTCTTCATTACCAAACAACTCATTTTTCAATCTATCTATTTCTTCCTGACTTATTCCTAAACGAACTGATGGTTCGCTTATTTCCGCCCAGTGATTTTCAAATTCATCAAAGCTTACTGAAGTGTTAGGTAAGTGAGCAAAACGACCATTACGAAATAACCTGATACGGGTAATATCTGCTTCAGTTGAATCATCAGTGCGGTCATTTACTGACGTCCATATTGGATCATGAGGTGGTTTTAAACCACAAATATTACGCAGGAGAATACAAAGTAAAGTAATGTCAAACTTATTTTCATTTGCAAATATTGGAGGAGGAGGATACAGTAAATCCCATTGATGTTGCTTTATTTGCCTATCTTTTAGCGACAAAAGCTTACGATAATTTTTTCTGTCATTTAAAAAATAAAATAAATCAGTACCTGACAGTTGTTTCCTCAATGTTATTCTTAAAGCTTCTCCACCAATATCAACAATTAATCTCATCAACTTAAAACCATTAGTTTTCATATCTGAGCTCAAGACAGGTATAATGTTGCTCCCTGCAGAAAAAAAAGTAGGTAAAACTTCCATGGTACAAATTCATAGTGATTATAAAGGAAAACCTGCGGCCGGTTACATGAAGGCAGAATAGTTTTATCCATTAGGTGTCAAATTGTTTTAAACTTTTACAAAATCTCTTAAAAGGGAATAATATGTAATTTGAACCGAGCAATCATTGAAATATTGCTTTTAAGATTACAAAATTGGTTACCTCGGTATCTTGGATAGCCTTACTATTGGTTACCTCAGTATCTAGGCTAGCCTAACAATTAGTTACCTCAGTATCTAGGCTAGCCTCACTATTGGTTTCCTCAGTATCTAGGCTAGCCTCACTATTGGTTACCTCGGTATCTTGGATAGCGTTATTATTGGTTACCTCAGTATCTAGGCTAGCCTTACTATCAGTTACCTCAGTATCTAGGCTTCTAGGCTAGCCTCAATATTAATTACCTCAGTATCTAGGCTAGCCTTATTATTAGTTTCCTCAGTATCTAAGGTAGCCTCACTACTGGTTACCTCGGTATCTTGGATAGCCTTACTATTGGTAACCTCAGTATCTAGGCTAGCCTCATTATTGGTTACCTCAGTATCTAGGCTAGCCTTACTATCAGTTACCTCAGTACCTAGGCTAGCCTCACTATTAGTTACCTCAGTATTTTGGCTAGTCTCACTATTGGTTACCTCAGTAACCATGCTAGCTTCGTCACTGTTTATCTCAGTATATAGTTATTTCAATTTGAAAGTCATTTTGCTCTGTAACAGAGTGTACACTAGGTAAGAAATGAGAACGACATGGGTATTGCGAAAATATTTATCAAAGAAAGTACAATTGTAATTGTATTACAAATATAGGATAAAAAAAAAACGACAACCGCTTTGAAATCCATATGAAATTAAATATCAAAACAAATAATCTTAAATAATCATTTTTTACAAGATATGCTGCGGACTAAATGTTGGTGAAATGTCTGTGTCACACTCTACGATATAAACTACGTCATAGCTACGTCTATGCTTACAATTCCATACAACGTCACAAACTCCTACTCAGGCTTTTTTGAAGAACTTACCTTGCTCATACAATGAATCACTCCGATTTATCAATCTTGTAGCTTTGGTACGGAGTGACATAGTTTGCTGGTCCCTCACCAGTATTCCATCGAATATTTCCTCTTCGGAAATATCTGCATCTTGTCTTATGTCCATCTCTTCAAGACGTCCACCATCAAAGGACTTCTCTTTATCTGATGATTGCTCATTTTTAAAAGAAAACACTTCCTTATCACTTGACGATATGACAGGATTACGCGTTTTGCCTATGACAGAAATTGAATTAAGAAACTGTTTCTTTCCTGCTAACTTCGTGCTAACCTCACGTGCTAACCTCGTTGCAACGTGTTTCACGATCCATTGTGATCGATCATCAGGTGATTGAACAGTTAATATAATTAACAAAGAGATGACATTTAGCCGTTGTCTGCTCAAATTTAAATTTTCTATTTTCTTCTGATTCCAGGATATTTCAAACGATTCCGTCTAGTTTTCATTACGATTGTTGTTTACCGATTTCACACAGTTGTTATATTTTGTCTTCAATGTAAAAGGCTGACAGAAAAAAGAACGTAAATAAACGATCTGAACTGTTTTTTAAGATGCTTTCATTAATTTAATATCCGCTTAGTAATTATCTAAAAAACGACTAATCGTACGTAAACTTATAATTATCTTTATATTGTATCACCTGATGATCGATGCAAATGATCATAAACATAGTGTCCCAGAATATAGAATATACAGAAGGTTCACTCGTGTCGGAGCCTTTGATGTTTTTGTCCTCGCTTATGTTGTGCCGTGCATATCGGCAGCCATTATTCCAGCAAAATATTTAGAGCTTTTCACTTGTTCCTAACCACTAATATGATACGACGTCATTTCTTATATTGAAATATTTTCGATTTCATTGTGAAGAAATGACGTCATGTAATTGGAGTCGTTGGAAACAAATGAAAAATCTTAAGTATCTTGCTGAAATGATGGCGGACGTGAGAGCGATAGGCACACTTGAGTGAGCCTTCTGTATAATTTTTATTCTGTGATATTGTAGTGAAAATTAGATTTTAGGGCATGATAAGTTTTTTAATAACTGCTAATAACGGTTTTCGCTTTAGTATTAAGCACTTTTTCTCTACAGATAAAATAATACAAATTACAGTAGAATTACGATTCAAGAGAAAATATTGCTGTGTACTCATATTTATGTCAATGATGGTAGTATTCATTTATAACGCTTGAGTATTTCATCAAACAGGCAATACCTGGTAAAATTTTCTCTGAAAGATCCGAACGACCTATACTGATTAAGGCATCTGCCAATTTTTTTCTAGTAGCATCTTTTCCTTTTTCCTTTTCCCAAAGCAACAGCATTTGAAATGCCTGAACATTTGAACGAAATGATTCCAGATCAGACTCAGTTGGTAATTGTCGAGTGGCATGATGTTCATAACAATTTTCTTCATCTGTTAATTTACCAGGTAAACTATCTAAAAAGTGAGAAAAATAGATTAGTGCGGACAATTTATCAACCAAAAAGAAACAAGTCTTGCATATTGGGACTTGGGTAAGAAAGCTGCTACAGTTTCGCTCTACAAAGGATTTAGGAAAATTTTTTCTTTCACAATTGGTCAAAGTGTATAAGTGTTCTTGAAACTAGTTCTCATTTCTTGCAGACTTTGCCAAATAGGCAAAATTACTTATTGTAAACCATCTTACGAAATTATGGCTTTTCCAAAATACTGATATAAGTGATTGTCATTTAAATTTCAGCATACATCTAAAACATCTTTTCGTGGAAATTGTTTGCTTTCAATTGATCTCAACTGATTACCCTCCCTCAGTAGCGCTCCTGACACCGATTATATCTATTATGTTATAAAAAATTCAAACATTTTTTGCTGTATGATGTTCGATATTATGGATTATGGAAGCTAAATAGTTATATATCTTGCATATTGTAAATTACTTTTGTCAGATGAAAAGCCACAATTGTTATTTTTGGGTTCTATAAAGAACTTCCCATCTGTTAGATCAAATATCTCCAATGCTTTATCCAATTTTAAGCATATATAGGTTCTCTTGGAGCCTATAATATCTGAAGGCCTTTAATATCAATATCATGAAACGTAACAATTACAATGATGTTTATCATTTATACACCTTGAGTGAGTGAGAAAAAAAATATTACTGAAATAATGTTTTTGATATTATTTCTTATTTTCAGAAAAATTTCAAGAAAACATTTTTCCGAGTCCTTATAATGCACAAAATGATAATTATACAGAAGGATCACTGAGGTGTGCAACGAGTTCTCACGTGCGCCATATTATTCCATCTGGTAAAACGTTGTTTTTAACCATTTAAGTGACATGATGTCATTTCTGAGTAATGAAATCGAGAATGATATGCGCGGCACAACATGCACAAAGACAAAAATATGAAATGTTCACACTATAGTGATCTTATCTTTGTCTACAATAGATAAATTTCCCACTGAATCCTGTAACTTTTATTGCTTTTTAAAACTGTCTACATGAGCTTTCAATTTACGTGGATCTCACAATTCACCTAATCAATCCACTGACATAGCAGTGTTTCTTTAAAAAGAAGACTCAATATATATTAAATTTGACAAGGAAAGAGGTGGCTCACAATTTAATCATAATCTATTAATCAAACCATATATTATCGCAAATTGGAAATTAGCCATAAATTATTATATATAGTAGATTATTTTGTTTCAAATTAAAACTAAACAAAAAACTTTGATAAATATTCCTACATATTACCATCCAGCTGGCGTGGGCATCCCTGATCAGATCTTTCGCATTCGTCTAAAATAAGACAGGAAAAACAAATTCAGAGTAAAAAAAAACAAAACATATGACTTCATGTCATGAATGCTTAGTTTAAAGTTCAAATCACAATAATTAATATTTAATAATAAAATAAACGGATACAAATGTTAAAGTTTTTAGAGTCCTTTAATTTAACCAATTTATGACGACTTCTTTGAATCTATTGAACAATTACTGTTACAATCTGAATATCGTGCCACATTTTTGTAATATCAACAATGTCCATTAAAGAACACATGCAAGCTAGAAGACAACTTTATTTTATTGTAATGCCTATAGCGTGAAAATAAGACGTACCAAGTTTCAAAGTCGTCCGCGAAATATTTAAAAAGATATTTAGGGTTATAATCGGTAAAAACACGATATTCGATGACCATTGCTAAAACGCCGTGAGATTTTTTAAGTCTGGGAACTGGGAAAGAGTGACGTATTAGTTGACATAAACAAGCATCGTTCTTATATCGTTCTACGACTTGCACGCAATTCTTGCACGGCTTTCGGTAGTTTGCTATTACTGTTTTTTATTTAACAAAAATTAATGGATTCTTCTTCTGAAGAAGCCGATTATGATATTGTCGTCAATAACAATGAGGTACAACCTTACATGTTTGAGCCTTTGGCCAACGCGCAAGGTGGTCATAGTAATGAATACAATTCAATACAATTCTTCGTCATCGGAAAGCGAAGATAAATACATTCACAGAATTGGAAATGTTGAATGGTTAGTTGCATTTTATTGATGCTTCATTGTTTTCCCAAAGTAGAAAGAATGTTTTATCTTTTAGGTGCGAGTGTGGCTTTTGTGTGGTCATGAGTACAGGACGGGAAAGTATATGTTGCCAAGAGGTAAACAACACTGATCCTCTGATACATGGCGATCATATTTGCATCACACAAGAGGAAGAGTTTGCCACAGTATTTACAAACGAAGCTGTCTTAAAAACAGCTATGGTCGTGTACACACATGACATTGGACCTATGCCTGAGAGTGAAGAAAACGAGTAAATATTACCTTAGAAGTGTAATTACGTGTATGTCGACAAGTGTATAATGCCGATAAGTATCTTAGACAAAATTTTGTATCGTTCAGAGCATTACGCTACACGGCGTACCGACAGTGGCACGGCTTGGGTGGACGGCTCGGTTGCATTGTCATTGTCGGATTCTTCATTTTCGCTTAACTCATTTGAACATTGAGAGTCTGATCCATTGTTGCTATTGCTCATCGTCGACGTGCTTTCTGTATCAGACCATACAGCGCTATCCTCAAAATGTTCAATTTCACATGACGTCGTCTGTGTGCTGTGATTTTTTGTTGAAATGAACTCAACCTCCGTACCTTAGCATAAAATTATCGTATTGCTGGATTTTTCACAAAAATCAAAACGGCCGGAACGGAAAGTCTATACCTCTACTTATCATATTTGGCACTTTTGTTTGAGTGGTTCTTGACCTTACGTGTTTTTGCGGACGGATTGTTATGGCTGCTTGGCATTTCACATTGCGCTTCTAAGGGGCCGATTACATGGACCGAGTTGTCCCGGCAAGGTGAGTTGTCTCGGGTATCCGGGTTAGCTTTTTTCAAGCGATTACATGGACCGAGTTGTCCCGGCAGGGTTAGTTCTCTAGGGTACTCGGGCTCCTGGCTCCGGGAGAGACTTCGAATTTTTGCGGGAAAATATGGCGAACATTTTGTAAACAATGAATTTTTCGCATCACTCCATTCTTGTTTCCTGTCTACTTTTTCAATTTTATTGTTTCATTTACTTATGGGCAGCATACAAGCAATACGTTCACAGAGTTTTTTATAGTTACTATGCCACAAAAAAATCAGTAGCTGAGAAAAAAGCACGATACATAAGAGCTAGAAAACTTAGTCGGAAAAAGCGAGCTATATGGACCAAAAAAGGAAGAACTGACTTATGGTGGAAGAATATGTTTGATGGAGTTACCCCAGATAATGAGTGGAAGCGAAACTTTAGAATGTCGAAAGAGCGATTTTTTCAATTGTGCGAGGAGTTGCGACCTTACATTTCTGAAGGAATAAACACTCCAAATTATAGGTCACTCTCTCGTGAAAAAAAACTCGCTATCACTTTATATTACCTAAAAGACACTGGTTCTATTTGGATGACGGCGAATGCCTTTGGTGTTCATCAATGTACAGTTTCTAAAATCGTTTTAGCTGTTTGCAATGCAATTTGTATACATCTTTGTCCAATATATCTGCACCTTCCACAAACGGTAGTGGAAATGAGGAAAAAGTGGCTGAGTTTGAAACAAGGTTTGGCATGACTCAGGCATTTGGCTGCATTGATGGTACACATTCCCATTCAAAGACCGTTGGTTGATTCTCAAGATTACTTCAATTATAAACAGTTTTTCTCCATTAATGTTCAAGCTGTTTGTGATTCAAATGGCTTATTCATGGATGTTGACTGCAGGTGGCCTGGCAGCGTCCATGATGCAAAAGTATTTTCAAACTCATTCATAAATAATGAACTAAAATTGGGAAGATTACCACAAACCTTCACTCATGTTTTACCTGGTCATGACAAGATACCTAACTACCTCATAGGTGACCCGGCATATCCTTTAACACCCAACTGCATTAAAGAATACCAATCATGCTTAAGCAATGATGAGGTAGTTTTTAACAACATGCTAAGAGCCGCAAGAAACCCAGTAGAATGTGCATTTGGCCGCCTAAAGGCTAGATGGTCAATTTTGACAAGAAAAATGAACCTTAAACTGGATGCAGTACCAAAAGTTATTTTAGCTTGTTTTGTTCTCCATAATTTTTGTGAGATGCATAATAGAGACATGGATGAGGAGATTGTCCAAAATCAAATAGCTAGGAACAGAGATGAAGAAATAGCCCACAAAAACAGCCCAGATCCAGTGTACTCAAGTACCACCAGGGAAGGAGAACTAGTCAGAGACACACTAAAACAATATGTTAATGCACATTTGCCTTACTAGTCTTTTTAATATTCTCAAAGCAACAGTTTTTTTCTTCAAATACATGTTTATTTTATAAACAAAGAACATTTGTTCCACTCTAACAAAAACAATGTAACATAAAGAATTACTCAGTAAGAATTCAACATAAAAAATAAAACAAGTATGATGTTTTTAACCAATAAAATGTTAAAAGTCAATATTGATGTTGATGTGGTTGCAAGGGTTCTCCATTGCTTTCTACATGGGGAATATAGAAAGACTGGCCAGACATATCAGGTGGAAATATGTAATTAGAGGTATTAATACCTTGGTGAAACTGTGCATAAGATTTGTGGACTGCATTCAATCTGATGGGTATGGTGGCCTGATGTGCTGTGACGATTCACATGATTTTTGAATTGAAGAAGCAATAGCAGTCATTGAAGCACTAATTGCCTTCAAAGACTCTGCAAATAATAAATTGGATTCTTTCAGGAATTTGATATCTCTTTACGAAATTGTTGTTCATCTTTTGATTCTTGCATCAAGATTTTGTCGCGTTGGGAAGCTGATAACTGACGTTCCATGTGCCTACGTTTGTTATCAATCAATGTGGGTACCACATTCATTTTCCGCTTGCCTCTCATTGCTTCATGCTTTTCTTTCTCACTAAAAGTATTCTCGCATTCTGCTATGGACTCATGATGAGAACTATCAGTTATGCGAGAAGATTCTTCAATTTCATCAGACAAAGTTGTATTAAAGTCATTAATTTCCCAGCCTTCCTCATCTTCTTTTTCTGCTGATTGCACACCAAATTGCAATGGTTCTGTTGCAGGTGATCCTCCCCATATTTTGACCATAACATCATAAAACTCCATAACCATTTTTCCTGAGCCTGATCTTGTACCTGAGGTAACCGCATTACTAAATTTCTGTCGCAGATGTTTTATTTTTTCTTGAACTCGAGTATATCCTCGTCGAATTTGGGCTTTGAATTTTTCACACGACCTTGTATAATCCTCCTTATTGTCTTCTTCAGTGTATGCAGGAATCTCTGTCGGCCCAAACAATGAACCGTCACGATATTTGTTGGCCAAAATAATTCTAACTGATTCATATTGTTTAACTTTGTCCGCATTGAAATCTGAGTTTCTATACTCCATTTGAGATTTGTACTCGAGCAACCCTTCCAGTAAATCCTTAACCATTTCTAAAGTCCACTGAAAGCGATTATCTATGTCGATCGTGGCAGATCTTTTAGATTTTTTACTTTTCTTTGCATTATCGTTTATTGAGCTTTCCGCCATTTTGCTAATTTAAACTAAGTGCGCATGCTTCACACAACAGCTTTCAACTCGCTTACCCGGGGCAACTCGGGAAAAAGTGATTACATGAGCGAACGAGACAATTTTCATCCCGGATAACCGAGTTGTCCCGGCTTTCAACAGCCGATATCCCGGCAAAGCGAGTTGACTCGTTTCCCATGTAATCACAATGCTGTTTTTAATAGTAATTATAAAAGAGGCCGCGGTATCGGTAAAATTGTCTCACCTCGGCTAACCGGGACAACTCGGTCCATGTAATCAGCCCCTAAGGTACGTTAAGGAATTTTTTATGAGTTAAAATAACAAAGAAAAGATCAAACGACATTAGTCTGAATTAGTTACCACTGTATATGTTTGTGTTTCGCTGTCTACATATATTTTGACATCATTCATCTTAGACAAACTTCCTTTGAGGTAAAACGCACAAACATTTCGAGCCGATGTCGACACATCGTGGTCGTCGTCTACAAGAAAGTCGTCATGTTCTGCAAGAACGTCGTCAATAATCTAAAATTATAAAATTGTCTTCAATTTGGTAATGCTATATAGCTTAGTTTTGATAAATGTAAACAAATATTGCTAACTATAACTATAATATTCACCTCTTGCCTTCGTCTCTTCTCAAATGCAGTTCTAACATTTGTTGGCTGCTTCCTTTTAGATGCTACACTTGTGGGTTCCACAGAGTATTCAAAAATCGTGGGTACAGCATCCTTCTTAAGGCGAAGCCGTCCTGCTGTCCATCCTACTGATTGCATCGCTTCAAAATTTTGCACGAAGCACGAACTCTCGAAATGTTGCGAGCACAATTTTGAGCTCTTTGTTGGCTTCCAATTTTTGCGTCGGATTTTTTCAATCCAAATATCTCGCATGCGCTTGTTTTCTGCGTTTCGTGGTTCTTAGAAGAACCGTTTTTACAATTAAATGCGGGACAATAATCCATATTTTCAATGCTAAATTGTCGTGTTGTTAAGAAGTTACCAATATATTTTGAACGAAGCGCGCAATTGACCGCGTTTAGCGAATGTCAACTATTACGTCACAACGACATCGGTAGCTGTCGCTAGCTCGTCGGGCATTTTCAATACGTTATCAGTAAAGCATCAACTTTAAACCTCCATATCTTCAAAAATATTTATCCTTTGAGTCTCAAACTTTGGTGAACTATTAGTTGGAGCTATACCTTCATGTAAAGTACAAAAATAACAATCCGAATTTTATGTTGCATGTGTCCTTTAAATAACTTTTCTCGGTCTTATAAATAATATGACGTCTGTATTGATGCTTGCACGAAGCATAATTATTCAGGAACTTAAAATAAAAGTTTTAGCTTTTTCAATTGATCGAAATATCTGAGTACCTTATAATTAGTCTTAAATTTATAAGCTACGTCATCATCGAAAGAAATAGTATTGTACACAGGACTGTCCATGTATGCGTGTTCTAGTCGTACGACATGTAGAATATGTTTTTTTATACATTTTAAGTGAGCGTAAAAACTGTACAAAGAATTGATAAACAACATTAGCCATTAGTATATTAGATCAACAATAATGAAAAATATAGGTATTGTGGTATCATACAGAATGATTCTGTTTTACATTTTGTATTCATGCCTGCGCGTTTTCGATAAACCAATGTATATATATAATAAGCCAAGTGAGTTATAATAATTTGTGAAATGTACTCCACGAAGTAAGTATCCTTGACGTATTTCTATTCGCAGTTAATTTTTGATGGCAAAAATTGTTTAGCTATATAATTTATCAATGTGATGACTGTACTAGAAAGCGAATCCAAACAGTTCTGTGTAGTGGCGATGGTTCTCAGATTTTATTGTGCAAATATTGGGCTGTATGTGTATGGTTTCGATGAATGGAGAATTTTCTATCGTTGACATTGAGATGAATATAAAGTCAGCTGATTGACAAACAAACGATTCATGGGTAAGCCGCCAAAGCAAGCTTCCAAAATGTTTTATCATATTTGGAGAAGAGCATCGTATACATAAACATAAAACAACCTGTTATATAATGAAAATGCTTATGAGTCAAACATTGGATACGTATTAGTACTTTTGTGCAGTTGTCGATTTTTTATTTTATAAATTTGTTTATTTTCAGAACGATCTTTGTTTCATTATTGGTGAAACTCACTCCAAGCGAAGAAATGTGACAGCTTTTCCTAGCTCACCGTTCAAAAATTAATTATACCTACATCAAAATGCTAATGTTGGTGTTGAGCTGAATCCTTAAGCGAAGTGACACATCTTCTAACGTATACTTTAAAATAGAAACTATCATAGTTAAATAAACGAGGATGCGCAACCCATATATAAGATGTATATTTGCTATGTTTATTAAGATACTCTTCACAAAGTAAAAATAAGTGCTCCAAACTTCATAAACAGATCAATTATTTTTTCTGAAAATTTGGCACGAAAAGTTTTCTTTGAACGAAAGAAAAAAGTCATTAAAACATTCTACAAATTTCTTTACGTACATAGAATTAGACAACAACAGCAATGCTACCTTGTCGACGGCCAAAGGCATTTAAATCTTCAAATAACATATTCACGGTGGCATTTTTTCCTTCTGTTTTTTTCCACTTCAAAAGCATTTCCATTGGCAATTTATTATTTACAGAGCATATATTGTGCAAATTTTTTTCAGGTATGCCCAGCATTCTAGCAAGCTCCGGCCATTGAGGATATATCATTTCAGAAATTTCCCAGAGATCACTATTTTCGGGAACATCACTCATTACTGTAGCATCGTGATTTCCTAGATGTACAACAAGGTAATAGTTAACCATTTATAATGCTACTAATATATGTGACTACTTTCAATGTCGCTGATATCCCTTTCATTATAAATATAACATTTCAACATGCTTCACGATTTCAAAATTCACTAAACATAGTGGTGACCATTACTACCTCTTGCGCAGAAAAGTTTGTTGACTATCTTAAAATTAACCTGATTACATGAGGCAAACTAGCTCCCAAGTAGCAATTTCGCTGCGATATGCCCACGAACATCAATTCTGTTGATATATCTACAAAACTCTAAATAATTGACGGACATTATTCCCTAAAAAGCAGAGCCTGTTCGCAGGATAGCTTTTGTATGGTTTCTTGGGATTTCTACGTACCAAGGTTCCGGGGGGTTCAGGCTTCTTTTTAAGGGGATTCTGGGCAGGTTCGTTCGGCTTATACAGACATTCTCATTCGTCGTCTTTGCTACATTTCTTCAATAAAACGCGTAGTGTGTGCACAAATAATTTGGAAGCATTTAGCTCAGTGGGGGAGAGGGATCGAGGGAGTTAAAATTAAACTTAAAAAAAACTTAAAATTAATTAAACTTAAAATTAAACTAAAAATTCAATTCTTTGAAGCGAATTGCCTCATTTACAAAGTTCACCGTGTATATATGGACTGGCCCAGCGCGTTAAGCAAGCTACCCCCGCTCTCATGTAATTACGTGTTTATGTAATGATGCATTTGGGGTCTTAATTAATACGTTTCAATAATCTCTTCACAATGACAGCCCGCACGCGCGCGAGTGTGTAATAAATGACTGAAGAGGAGAGTTCTAAAGACTTGAGATAGACAAAATCAATGCAAACGTGCTTGAAAAACCATGTTAGTAAATTGGGGGTATAGACCAAAACAATAAAACCAGAAAAAAACAAAAATATCTTTAACCCAAAAATATTTATTTTAAAATGAGATTGAATTTAAAAAACAACCATACAATACAAAAACAAATGCTGCTGAGATAAACATAATCATAGAAAAATGCAACTGCAACAGCCAAGAAAATATGGATTGAGAAAAAAATACGCTTGTGTAAAACAGTGATATGGAAAATCCAAACTCAATAATTTTGTGCCCAGGGGCCCAAAACACCTAAAAGCGGCCCTGACCTGGGAATGACTTTTCAAACCCAGTATTGCACAAAGTTTTAGAAACATTGCCCCAATTAGTCAGGGTAGGGTACATTACTGCATTAGTGTAAATGCATTTACTAGTTTCCATGACAGCTGCTTATAATAGAGCCAACAATGGCAGCTAGCCAATATTAGTTCTTTTAAATATAAATGTAAACAGTTGACTTGATATTGCTAAATAGTGACTGTTATACTATCAAGAACTGTTAGAAATTTAAAGTAATTAAAGGCATTTTGAAATTTTGGCAGATGTTAAAATTTGGTTTATGAATTCTCTGTGGAATGAAAATAGGATTGAAGCTGAACTTGATGACTTTATTTTTTAACATTCAAAAATAATGTTATTTATGACAAACTGGTTATGTTGATGAAATAACTTTTTTAAATTTTCAATGGACATAGTTACAAGCAACTAAATAGCTTTGCAAGAGAATATTGACGCCAGACATTAAGGAATATTTTGGCCTAGGTTGGTTTCCATGTAAACTGCTCTCACTCATAGGTCAGTTCTAGCCCAGTACTATCAACAAAACTAAAGAGTATATTTTGAAATGCTTGATTTTTGCAATGTATTGTGATGACTTACCAGATGGCTCTGAACTCATAACTGCTGTGGTTGAAGTGTCTGCATGGGAAGATTTGGTTTCTAAAAAAATATTAAAATATTTTACCAATCAAACACAAAGAAATAGAGTGGAAACACATTCATTTAAGTAAAGCATAACTGTCCAGTACCATCAGTTTTACTTCATGTCTATAAACTAGGGCGACATAATCCCCAAAAGGAAATGATATAAAAATGTCATGTAGACAAATACAATAATATTTGAGCTAGTAGCAGATCCAGGGTTTACGCAAAATAAATTATAACCGCTAATTTTAAATTTAAAATACCTTTATATAAAAGTAATTGGTTATGAATTTCTAAAGAATAAATACTACCCAATCAATAAGTCGAAGTAATTTATTTTGCCTATAGCTGAATCTGCACCTGGTTTGAGCTGAAATTTAGATTTGCTAAAGGTGAATATCTGTTCAAAATTCTTAAGTTAAAGGCAGTTGTATAGCAGTCAGTTATTTCAAATGAGTGATCTTTTGGAGTTAACAAAAAATGTTTTGGTTTCTTCCCCTAAATATCCATCACTCAAACCTTTCTTCACACTTGAGACTAAATCTGTCGTTAATTTATAAATACCTTTCCATTCCAAGTTCTCTTCCATGCCATCATGCTCACTGCTCCCTTTGATGATGTAAATTATACTTTCACTTGAAAGCAAAGCCACCTTTCCATTTGCATGATGAACAAGACGAAACAAACCATCAAATAATTCTGAATAATATCCTGTATTCATCAGCATTACAGACCATTTTATTTTAATTTTTTCAGTTTCAATGGAAAAAGTTTCAATAACAAGCTGTGATTTGTCCTCTTTAAAATAAAAACCTTTGATAGTGTTGTCAAAGGGAGTGTAAATGACTTGAGTAGTGTATGTGTTGATTCCTTTAACCTGTGGATGAATTTTTATCTTTTTAACAAAAGTTTTATCCAACGTAAAAATGATGAGTTGGTAACATCGGCCAGATGAATTTGCCAAAATTGCTATATTTTCACAAGATGAAATGGACAAACTTTTCACTTCATCATCAACTGGTTTACCATTAACTTTTGGTACAAACGAGTTAATAAGTTCACCTTTACTGTCACACACATATATATTGATTTCACTTCGTTTGCGTTTTGAACTTTTCACTGTAGCAAGGATAACTGAGTCATTGGGCGTGGCAGATAGAAAAATCTTACTAAAGTTTTTGTCATTAAGAAAATGCAAAGTACAATTTTGAACAATTCTGTCTTCCAAACAAAGTTTCAACACATAATTGCCATTTGGATGGTCTTTACCATACAAAAGTAGATATACCATGCCATTTTCATCAACGTTCATGCATTTTACTTGTCTATTTTCAACATTCAGACGTCCTTTACACCATGTTTGAAACTTTCCGCTCTTGCTGTCAAGCCTTTGCAATTGATTTCCATCAAAAACAAGTAATTCCCCTTTTCTGTTAACGATCATTTTCTTGTTAAAGAAATCAATATTCTTACGAAGGTCAGTTGTGTACCAAGGTAGTGGCGTGGCAGTAATTTCATTGATGCTTTTGAAATAGAAAGGATGAATCAACTGCTTGCCATATTGAATCAAGGGCCATTCCATAACATACATTCTCTTGTTAGTGTGCTTAAATATGAAATCGGCCAAATTGACGTTGATATGTATTACACTGTCAAGGATTTCGTCTTCTAAGTTATTTTGAGATTCGGCCGTTACTTCCGCGACAACCGATGAGTTTAATTCTATCAGGCATCGCAACAAATCTCTTGTCGCCAACTCACAGTTATCCAAGTGTTGAAGAATAGCGCTTGCTATGTGAATCTTGCTTGCTGTTATCTTATCTTCGATGCTTAAAGACGCATCATCAAATGCTTCTTTCGCTCTCTTTCCAGCTTCTTCAAACAACGGTTTAGATTGAGATAACAATGTTGTTGTTTCCGGTTTTGACGACGATGGTTGATTTGCAGCACGCCCTTCCAAATCTTTTAGCTTTTCAACTCCGTCTTGAAAGAAAAAAAAACTCTCGCGAAGATTTCTTGGCGAATCCTCGCGAAGATTTTTTGACGAATTCTCGCGTAATGTCTCCAATTTGTCCTTGAATGCATCAATAAAATATGTTTCATTTTTGCCTTCCCAAACATCAACAACTATGCTCAAAGCTGATTTTATTCTTGCTTCCATCACCGCTAGAGACTGATAGTTGTGCTCAAAGAAAATGACCAGCGAAATTTAATCAAAATGTGGCAATAATAGAGTGTTTTAATATCGGTTGCCACGTTGGTACAAACTCCATATTCCATACAGTGTCACTGTGAGTGAAACTGATGAGAATTTATGTTTAAAATTTCATGTTCTGTTGAGCACACTGAACTATAATAGATAGGACTGAGAGGCGACCCTACCTGCAATACAAAAGCCTAATATTTTTTTAAGCCAAATTTAAGCTCCTGACAAAAAAAACTCAGCTCAACTGTACTAGAGATTTGTTTTGCAAAAAATTTGGAGTTTAAAATATTCTTAGAGAGGTTAATGATTTATTTAGAGAGACGAAATATATGAAAGTTGGGGATGATACTCCCTGCACCAGCCCAAGAAAATCCACTTAATTCATGACTGTTTTCCATCCAAATGTTGACGTGTGAAAATGTTATTCAAAATCATCAATATTCATATATGAAATTCTTAGCTCTCATGGCAAAAAAAAGCGGAATGTCATTTTTGCAACAAAAAAATGAAATGTATTAACGTAGGTGTTTAGTACTGTGTCCGCTACGGCCTATACGGGTCACCAGCATTGAGTTCTATAAGACCTGGAGGGGAAACGTCAACAAAATTACTATAAATTATTAGCGCGCGGCCCATTGAGTTCTATAAGACCTGAAGGGGAAACGTCAATAAAATTACTATAAATTATCAGCGCCATCTGTGGTTTTATTATTTAACCGCATAACACTGTGATTTTTCCTGATTTATTAAATAACCAATTTCTTATTTTGGTTATTTAATAAATAACCACTTTATGAAAACATCGAAAATTGGTTATTTATTAAATAACCAGTTTCTACACACGCCGAAAATTGGTTATTTATTAAATAACCATTTTCTACACACGCAGAAAATTGGTTATTTATTAAATAACCAGTTTCTGCGCACGCGAAAAAATGGTTATTTATAAATAACCAGTTTCTGCGCACGCGAAAAAATGGTTATTTATAAATAACTAAAATAATTTCGAGACACTTCGCGTGCCAAATGACGTCAGCAAGCAATAAAATAATTTTCTCAGTCCCCCCCTGGATAAGCACTCATTTCCGCACTGTCGCGTTATTGAAATTAGATCGCTTGTCGCGAAAAATTTCATTTTGTCTGTAAGTTTCCCGCTCGACGTGTTTTCTATTTGTCTTTTTTGTCAAATAAATATGTCTCAAACGCACAATCTCCAAAGAGCAATTATCGAGGCCGTAGTAAGAGCAGTATACGAGGCACTGCGAGATCAACATGAAGAGGTAAGATACAAAGCAAAATATTCTCTGTTCATACTTGTAAATATTCAATGTGTGATATGTGTCGAATCACGAGGTCGTCGATTTTACGTGATAAAATTCTTACAATTTTAGTCCTCTGATGCAGCTACTGCCCACGAAAATAATACTGAACCACAGGTAACATTCTAGTGTATATGGGTGCATCCAAGTGAAAAACATCGTTAAATTTTGATAAATTTATAACTTTGCCAGAATTCCAACTCAAATGATGAAAATGAGGGGTAAGAAAACTTAGCAAATATTATGTGGTATTTCTATAGTACTACATTTGTATTGAACTCATTTCATTTTAATCAGTAACAATTCAGGAAGAGTTGGTCGACCAAAGAAAATAATTCCAAGGGATGTATTGGAAAATTTGCTTCAGTTACGACTTACGATTGTGGAAATTGCCAGACAGTTTAAAGTCGACAGGTCAGTGGTCTACAAAGCAATGTCGGAGTATGGGTTGTATCGAGAAAACTTTTCACAATTGTCACAAGACGAAATAGAGAAAGAAGTGGACGCCATTAAACAAAATCATCCTAAGGCTGGCGAGGTCATGGTTCAAGGGTACCTTGAATCTAGGGGTCTTTACATTCAGCGACAAAAAGTGAGAAAAGCCATTCATATGGTTGATCCATTAGGTGTCGAAGAGAGAAAAAGTAAACCAATAAAGCGTCGCATTTATACTAATCCTTTTCCCAACTATATTTGGCATATTGATGGGAACCATAAACTTGTTAGATGGAGACTTGTCATACACCATGGTATCGATGGTTTTAGTCGATTAGTGGTATTTGCACATTGTTCTTCAAACAATCGAGCAACTACTGTTCTATATCACTTCTTATGTGTTCCAAATTTATATTTTTGTGCACTTTCCAAATTTTGGATATATTTTAGACAATATGAAATTGTATAACATACTTGAGTTTAAAAAAATTCTACCGCGTAGTTTTTTAGCTATAGAGGTATTTGTCGAATGGGGTGCCAACTTCACAGTTTATACCAGAGTACATTCTCAAGGAATATTAATCCTTTTGTATTTTTGTGCACTCTCCAGATTTTGGATATGTTATATACAATAAGAATATCTACAATATGGCCAAGTTTAAAAATATTCTACCGTGTAGTTTTTTATTTACAGGCCTTTGTTTAGCAATGACTTGAAAATCTCAAATTAATTATATAAGATCATATTACGCGCATTCGTGTCATCCAACTATGTAACTATGTCGATGATTTTCTATAACTTATTTTTTTGTGCACTCTCCAGATTTTCGATATATTTTAGACTATGTAATTATCTATATTCTGGCCAAGTTTAAAAAAATTCTACCGTGTAGTTTTTTATTTACAGGCCTTTGTTTGTTAAAGAACCGGAATTCTTAACTTATTTATGCGCATTTGAGTCATCCAACTTTGCTGATGTTTTTCTATCATTTATATTTTTGTGCACTTTCCAAATTTTGGATATATTTTAGACAATATAAATTTCTATAATATACTTGAGTTTAAAAAAATTCTACCGCGTAGTTTTTTAGCTATAGAGCTGTTTGTCGAATGTGGTGCCAACTTCACGGCTTATTCTCAAGGAATACTATTCCTTTTATATTTTTGTGCACTCTCCAGATTTTGGATATGTTATAGACAATAAAAATATCTACAATATGGCCAAGTTTAAAAATATTCTACCGTGTAGTTTTTTATTTACAGGCCTTTGTTTAGCAATGACTTGAAAATCTCAACTTAATTATATAAGATCATATTACGCGCATTCGTGTCATCCAACTATGTAACTATGTCGATGATTTTCTATAATTTATTTTTTTGTGCACTCTCCAGATTTTGGATATATTTTAGACAATAAAAATATCTACAATATGGCAAAGTTTAAAAAAATTCTACCATGTAGTTTTTTACTTATAGTCCTTTGTTTAGGAATGACTTGAAATTCTTAACTTAATTATATAAGATCATATTACGCGCATTTGAGTCATCCAACTTTGCTGATGTTTTTCTATCATTTATATTTTTGTGCACTTTCCAAATTTTGGATATATTTTAGACAATATAAAATTCTATAACATACTTGAGTTTAAAATAATTCTACCGCGTAGTTTTTTAGCTATAGAGCTGTTTGTCGATTGTGGTGCCAACTTCACGGTTTATACCAGAGTACATTCTCAAGGAATATTAATCCTTTTATATTTTTGTGCACTCTCCAAATTTTGGATATGTTATAGACAATAAAAATATCTACAATATGGCCAAGTTTAAAAAAATTCTACCGTGTAGTTTTTTATTTACAGGCCTTTGTTTAGCAATGACTTGAAAATCTCAACTTAATTATATAAGATCATATTACGCGCATTCGTGTCATCCAACTATGTAACTATGTAGATCATTTTCTACAACTTATTTTTTTGTGCACTCTCCAGATTTTGGATATATTTTAGGCATCATAACTATCTATATTCTGGCCAAGTTTAAAAAAATTCTACCGTGTAGTTTTTAAATTATACGCTAATTAAGAGAAATGGAAAGTACACTGTAATATAAATCTTAGTGTTTTCTTCAATTTCTTGACTTTTATACATTTTTCTGATGGTTAAGGACAGTAAAATAATAATAAACAGTTAAGAATTGTTTTTTACTGTTGTATTCGATGGAAAACGTGTTTTAAAGACGATTTTTCGATTTATCATTTTGAATGATAAATTTTAGTTGAATGTGGTGTTGAATGTTGTGATGAATGTTGTGTTGAATGTCGTGCCCAATGTGGTGGTTAGCACTATTTTCCACCCAGCAAACCGCCCTTTACTTTACACAATCGTTAATAAATTAAAGATGGCGGCTAATGGGGAAAGAACCAAAAGCTAAAAGGAAACCATGCATGCACTGGTGCTAGGTCGTTTTGAGATGGCGAGTAATTTTATATTTTTATAATACAGTTTTTAATATCAACATATGAAAATATTTACAGATAAATGTTGCAGTATAAATTTTCATGCAACCACCTTAAGTTATAAACTTATAATCCAGGCTGGAAAATATGTCGTTTTTCGACGATTGTGTAAAATATTATATAAAATATTATATTGTGTAAAATATTAGATTGTGTAAAATATTATATTGTGTAAAATATTATATTTCAAATAAAGGGCGGTTTGCTCGGTGGAAAATAGTGCTAACCCAATGTGGTGCCAATTTCACGGTAGTGACCAAAAACCATGACCAGCCGACAATTTAAAGAAGTATAATATAAAACAAATTCCGAAGAAACAAGACATCTTGAGATTGCAAAATATGAATCAAAACAAGACGAGAAGTAAACTGTAAATTTTCGACTTTATTTCAAAGTCATCCTCAGACAGAATGACATTTAAAACCATACATACATATATATTTTACAACAAGTAAGGAAATAAGCAATAGAAATAAATAGTGTGATATTTACAATGAGTTGGAAGAGGTGTAGTATTACAAAAGGATGAATTGAAACTGCCGACCCGACTGGTAGAACTCTTTTCTTAATTTATAACACACTCATTCTACCAGTCGGGTCGGCAGTTTCAATTCATCCTTTTGTAATACTTCACCTCTTCCAACTCATTGTAAATATCACACTATTTAATTTCTATTGCTTACTTCCGTTTACTTATTTCATGCGTTGTAAATATATATGTGTATGTATGGTTTTAAATATCATTCTGTCTGAGGATGATTTTGAAATAAAGTCGAAAATTTACAGTTTACTTCTCGTCTTGTTTTGATTCATATTCTGCAATCTCAAGATGTCTTGTTTCTTCGGAATTTATTTTATATTATGCATCAAGCTAAACTCTCCTGATTTGAATTGAGTTTACCTCCCAAAAATGGGGCATAATTTGTTCATGTTTTTTTTTGAAAAGATGAAGGGAAAGTTTACAACAGAGTTGTGTTGAAATTGAATGCAGTGCCATGCAAAATTAATGAGAACTATGGTATATGTTGTATAATAAAAATAACTATTAAACTGTTTGCCTGCTCAATTTGACTGACTGTATAGTGTAGACAATTATAATGGGATTGGAAAGTTGGATTTATGCAAAAAATTTTAAAGTACTACTTAGCGTTTCTGTAAATGAAGTATTTATTGTTATAGTAAACAGGTTACTACCTCAAAACCAAGATAAAAGCAGTGTGTTGAACAATGTGCTAAGATTTGTTTCTACCTTGAAATTTTTGTTCAACAGTAGCTTATGATTATATCATTATTATGCATAAATAATTAAACATATTATTGTCTCATCTCATTAAATCCATACTCGGTATGATTCCAGGTGATCCACAAATTCACATCGGATGCATTGCTTACAATGAAGTTGAATGTAGAAGAAGCAAAAATAGATGGCAAAGAAATTCTTTGTGTCTTATGAAGAATTAGTAGAAATCAATAAAAAGAATTCTTTAAACAAATTGTAAACAAATTTAAATTGCTCATGGTCAAGCAACCTAGTCAAAGAAGCCAAGTCTGTCTTCAACATGTGACCTTTCCAATTATGTTTAGTTTCTTAGTACAAAATACTATTTTTGAGAAACTTGATTTGTAAGTCTTTCATTAATATTTTTTTACCAAGAGATAAAAGACCAAAGGCTTGATGAAAAATGCAAAGATTTATCAAGTTGTTTATCATTTCATTCCCAATTGTTAGTTTGTACATATAAATAATTAGTATTGGTAGCTGTAAGTTGTTCAAGCAAAACAGAAGAGTTAGTAGTGCTCGAAGGGTTTAGCATTTTTGAAATATTATATCTTGTTCTTAACATACATTACACATTTCCAAAAGACTGTAAGTAATGCACAATAATATTTATAGAACTTGATAAATTTCTTCACCTACACTGTCAATTAACTATTTTTGTTGTAAATTGTCATGTTATGTTGTGTAGTGTGTGAATATACCGTATGATAAATTGTAAAATGTTAGTCATATATTACTAGACAAATAGGAAAATACATAGTTATTAAACTGTGGTTTCAGTGGAAATCCTGTACGTAAATTCAAAATACTTAGGAACACTTTTTCTACCCAATGTGGCATTGCGGTAGGATGTAGGTAACGACGGTACTCTATAAACGGAATGGCGTAGTGTAAGTCATGCAAACGCCCAAGAATCATGTCCTAATAATTATAATATAAACAAGAGCTTGCAAGCGTTGTTAGAAAAAAACAGACGTTGTTAGACGTACAAAAGTAATAAGTTAGAAGTCGTATCGCAGGAGGCGATAGCGTTTGAATAAGTTTCAAGTTTAAGATTGACGGTTGGCCGTAATCTCAACGTTTCAATAACATATTTGTGTCGCAAAGAAGCAACGTTTGGAACTCCGTATCACAAATCGTGCACAAACCACTGTAAATATCCTATCAAGTGTTAAATACAATTGTCAAAATACAGTCCTATCGTTCGAGTGAAGTCTCGAGAGCAGTGAACCAGCACTTCGTGCAGGTTGTGCGAAAATTTTGCCTTCATGCAGCAATAGACAGAGTTTTTTTGTCAGAGAAACCAATGCACTTTAGTTTCATCAATCTACCATCGATTAATTCCTTTGCGAAAATATCTGCTTATTCTCCCATATTCAAATTTCGTAAAATATCCGTTACGGCAATGACGTCAATGTCTTATAATTCAAATGGTACGTTACTAATTGACTTTTGAGGACTTTCTTCAATGAGACGATTGGGAGTAACGCGTAACACAATGGGGCTTACAGGTGGATCCTTCTTAGAGATGTCGGTGTCAAACGATGGCTGTAAGTCAAAGCTTTTGATCGTTTATGAAATGTGTGTTTCAGTTTACGT